AGTTCTCGATGTCTGATGAGGATGTGTTAGTCAAGTCCAAGGGAAAAGAGAAATCAAGTGGTGGGAAGTCCAACAAACGAAAGTTTGAAATTATTCAGGAACCTGGTTCTGTAAAGAGGATGAGAAGTGAAGTCAGCCTTGGTTTAGAATGCCTGAGGCACCAAAAGGTTTTGTTGGGTCGCACGTTTGACCCAGCAATTTCTGAGATGGCTGGTATGCGACAAATTCTTGAAATGGTTGAGTTTCAATGATGGCAGCATTTATTCCAAATAGATGCACCTAAGGCATATGAGGATGAGGTACAAGCTTCTTTGCTAGCCTCTTTCCCGTTGAGACCAACCACATCTGTGCTTTGGTGAATGGAGTAGATATAGTGTTCGATGTTAAGTTGCTTGGAGAAATTCTTAAAGTTCCTACAGTTGGTGTGTCTAGTGTAAAGGATGTGTGTCAGTTTAACTTTAGAAATGCCGTGGTAAAAGTCAATGCAAACCAAAAGGGGGACCAGATCCATAAGAAGGCGTTACTCCCTATCTATCAGCTACTTTTCAAATTGGTCAACAAAGTTCTACTGCCTCATGCTGAGAGGAGGTCTGTGACTTCTAAGTCTGACATGTTCTTGATGAAGCAACTGGATAACTTTACTCCTATAAGCCTGCCTACTATTATAATTGAACACATGTAAAAGGTAGCCACATTCAATGATGGTAATTATGGCCTTCCCTACGGATTTTTGCTTACGCGAGTGTTTAAGTTCTTTGAGGTGCCTCTGGGGCAGAGCAAGTTGGGGACTAAGAAGCAGACCTTCTCACAGACAACATTGGAAGGATGCGAGTGCATAGAAAAGAATGGGGGAGTAGGAAGTACATCAACCATCTCACAGCTCATTAATGTACAAAATAGTGCAACTGAGGCGATTCGTCGGTGTAAGGCTAGGAATGCCTGGAAGGTCAGCAAGCCCAAGGGGTTCCGGCGTCAAATGATGAAGTAGTTCATTTGACAAAAGAGAATGTTGATCTCAGGGCACAAGTAGAGAACCTGAAAGTAGAACTGCTCAATGAGCAAAAGTCGGCCAATGCCCGAATAGACCTTGTTCTCCAAAAACTTGCTGCAGCTTCCAAGCCCTCTACTCCTAGTGCCCCCTAAGTATCCCTTCAGTGACCAGTTTCTAGAAATGTCCTTTAAGTTTTTTTTGTTTTGATTGGCAGATGTTTTGTTTTCTTTTTTGATGTGGTTAGGATGAAACAATACTGCTCCCGTCTTAACAATCCAATGTTGCCTTTGCTTTTTAAGCTAAGGCATATAAAATTTTCTATCTATATCAAATCTATCCTCTTTTGTTATCTCATTGCTTGTATTTTATGACTCTCTTCTCTATCATGTTGTGTGCACATATGTGGCATGAGTTAACTCGACTAGACTTATTTATGTTGTGTATCTGCTTGTGTCTTTTTAATGATGCCAAAAGGGGGAATATATGAAAAAGAAAGAATGTTTCAAATAGGAAGATATAAAGTCAGGGGGAACACTTATGAGTTCATGTTACTTTATCTGGTTCTTCTTACTCTAAATACACGTTATCTGTTTAAGTTTTTCATCATCAAAAAAGGGGGAAATTGATAAGTTTTCAATATCTTTGACTTATGTTTTGACGATCTAACAAACTGTGTCAAGAACCAGATAGGGGACCTGACACACTTGGACTATACTGCAAGTTAACGAATTCCAGCTAAATGTGGACTGCTATAACCTTAGGAGATAGGAAATCAAACAAGGACCCGATACTCTTATTGTTCCCTCATAGCAGCACAAAGTCAATTGGACACAGCTGGACAAAGTAAATAGTCAATTGCCTGCACTGCACTGTTTCCAGTGCTCACTTATTCCTTGACCAACTAAAGTGATTACATCATTTCAAGTGATGTCGTCAAGGTGTACCAACAATGAGTTTATATCAAAACATCACTTGAACATTTCTATTTCTCATTCAAGCCTTTTGCAAAACAGAGAAATTAATTCTTACGAGCTTGAAGAACAAAGCTAAACGCTACTACGGACCAGTTCCTAAAGTTAGTATTTTGTTGTCCTTAATTGAATTGTAACTTTGTGATTATTCTTATTGTATCTCCTAAATTGCTTAGCCAGAAGCGTTGATTAGGAACCCTCTTGTAAAATCCGTAAACTCTCTGAGTTTATGTTGTGACTAGGTTTAGTGATAAGTTAAAGTCTTTGTAACTAGAGAGTGACAAAGTGGCTTGTGGTGAGAGTATCACAAGTTAGTTAAAGTCTCTGTAACTAGAGAGTGACAAAGTATCTTGCGGTGAGAGTACCACAAGTTAGTTGAGTTAAATTATTTGTAATAGAGTTATTACAAAGTGTCTTGTAATAGGTGTTTACAAGTTAGTGAATGATAGTATCCTAGGAAGCTCAACTCTATTCAAGGACAAGGATGACGCTTTCGAATCTCAAAGATGACCTTTAACAAGATGTCAAGCTAAATAATTACAAAAACAAGGTCATTAGACTTCAAGTGCAAATAAAGAAGTTATTAATTGGGGGAAGAGCTCAAGGATAAAGGATGTGAATTGGCTAGGTGATAGCATCAAGGACAAGGATAGAGTTTTGGAAGCTCCAAGGCCATATACAAGATCTCAATCTAAAGAGTTGCAAACTAAAGTTGCTAGACTTCAATGGCAAATAAAAAAGCTTTTAATTGTGGAGGAAGAGCTCAAGACCAAAGGAGATTAATTGTCCAAGTTTTACAATTATATGGTGTTCCAAATTGAAGTCCAAGAGGAGGAAGATTGGGTCACCAAATCAGCCCTTGAAATCCACCAAAAAGGGCTCAAAATAAGTTTAAAAAAGGTCCAAAAGGGGGTGTTTCAAAAGGAGCCCAATTGGAATCCAAACCAATGACCCAAATTAGTTGTTTTAAGGCCCAAATCTACCCCAAAGGATCTTGGCCGCCCCTCATCTAATTTTAATGGCTTTTGTTACCTTTTAGGAGCCCCCTACCTAAGTTTGATGGCTATTGTGATCCTTAGCAGCCCCTACCTAATTTAGATGACTTTTTAGCAACTCCAACATTATTTTAAGGGGTTTTACTCCTATAAATAAGGAGTTCTTCTCATTCATAAAAAACTACATTATTGATTAAGTATATCATACTTTGAGAGTTCTTTTGAACCTTTGTTACTTGTGCTTTGAGATTTATCTTTCAACCTTTACTAGTTCATAGTTCAAGGTAGTAAGATTACTTCTCTTTTATGATATCTTTGATTCCTTTGTGGTATTCTTAGAAGGCGATTAATACTAGTTATTAATTGTTGTCTCAAGTTACTCGTAAAGCGGTCAAGATCTGAATCTATTGTTTTGATTTGCTTTTAAGTAAAGGTGTTTGATTTCTTCCATAAATCAAGACGTTGTTACTTTGATCTTGTCCAGGCTATAGAACTTGCGTTCTTGGAAGTTCTTGGAAATTCTTTCCTTGAATTTTCCCATATCCTTTATTTTCATCTCTTTAATTCTGGTTGTTCAATTCCTTGTTGTTATTGGTTCTGCATTTACATCTCAAATTCTTACTCTAGTTTGGATTCCCGACCTAGTTGCTATCAAGTGGTATCAGAGCGGTTCTATCAAGATTTCGTTCTTGATAATTCTTGGGATTTGTTGAGTACTAACGGTAAAGAAAAAAAACGAATTTAAGAAAAACAAAAAAGATGAAAATTAGTTTTTAGAAAAAAAAAATAGAATTGCGTGCTCTCCGGGTTATTTCTTTTGTATCTAATTTGTTTCCAAAAATTAACAAAGGAAACAAGAAGAGGGGATCCTAGATTTTTTTACTCTTTCTAATCTAAATATATAATCCTTTCCTTTTGGTTCGCGTCTTGTTTCAACCGAGCCTAAAAGTTCTAGGATTTGGTTTGTCTTTCATTAGTTCCCCAAAAATCTGAATTTTACTACTAAGAACTTCATACGAGTTGTGTTTAATTATAAATCTACAAAGTATTTTGTTCAAAGGTTATTTCGAGAGAAAAAAAGGGGTAAAGTGTGTGAGAGAACAATTGAGAAAAAAAAACAAAGAAGCCAAATTTGAGAGATACATATTTCCTTTAATATATGTCAAGATGTTTCAAATAGGTAGCTACAGTGGAAGGAGTAGATCTATGACTCAATAACTTGAAAGGTCGATATTACAATATATCGAATGGAAAGAAGACAATGGTAAAGTTATTTTTCAAACGAGAGCTAAAGTGATGTCTACAATTTATACCCTTAGAATTGACAAAGCATTTGACTATAACTTAATTAGCACTTATATGGTTGAGAAATTGAACTTGCCTTGTGTTGAACATATTGATCCCTACATATTGAAAGGAGTAATGGTAGATAAAAGAGTGTTATTACCATTCTCTATTGGAAGGTATGAGGATGTGATTTGGTGTGATGTCATTCCCATGAATCGTTTTCATATCTTGTTGGGAAGGCCATGGTATATCTATAGAAGTGCTTCATATAGTATCGAAAAAAATAGATACTCTTTTGAAGTTAATGGGAAGAAACTAAGTCTTGGGCCTTTGACTCCCTCACAATTTTGTGAAGATGAAAAGATTGTTAAAGAGAATATGAAAAAATACAAGAGAGAAAAGAATGAGAGGAGTAAGGGAGTGCATGTTGACATTCCAAGAGTGGGATTGTCTTGAGTAAAAAGAGTGGGATGTCAAGTGAGGTAAACAATGATCTTGAGAAAAAAGAAAAGAGAGAAAGCAATAAGAGAAACAAAGTCTGTGAGGGAGAGAGAGAAAAACAAGATAGATTGAGTGAATGAAAAGAACTCTTTAGTGAGAGAAAAGAGGCTAAGGGTGAGGAAAACATTAGTCTTGCGATAAAAGCCAAATAGAGTGTAAGCAAGAAAAAAGTTTCTTTACTTCCTAACCCATTAACTCTTTATTGTTTTAGTTCTTGTGATTTTGTGCATCCACGTGATGAAATACCTTTTGAAAGGGGTGGTGAGGCGCAAAAGATGGTGGCAAAAGATCCACTTGGATTCCAACATAAATTCGGCAATATCAATTCTTGTTGGATGGTGGAAGACAAAAGCTTGATTAAATTCTTTGTTATTAAACCTTTTGACTATTTCGATTCTTATTTACAGGGTTATGACATGGAGTTGCCTAAAAGCATTGCTAAGGTGGAGCCATTGCATAAAAGAATACAAGGTGATGATGTTCCATTGGTAAATAAGTCCAAGTATGGTATGTATAATTGGTTTATTTGCATTCTTGGTCTTTCTAGAACACCTAAGGTATTTTTGGAGGTAATGAATTACACTCTTATTTCTTATATTGGTGACTTTATAATTTTTGTAGATGATGATATTTTGATGCACATCAAGTCATTAACTATAATATCTAAGTTAATGTGTAAGAGTAATTCGCTTCCTTTTGAAATTGTGTATGACATAGATGATTACTTATTCCAACTTGGTGGAAAGAGGCATGGAATTTCTGTGAAGAGGCTTGCAAATGAGTTAAATATTTCTTCTTATCTTATTCAAGTGGCTAATGAGTTTTCATGTGCTAAAGAATGTGATCTTTGTTATGTGATGGGGAGTCATTCTTCAAGTCATGTTCATTGTAAGATTGTAAAAGTATTTGTTTCTAGTAAAGAGGATATGCATGATTGTTGTAATACTGGTGATCAAATACTCTTTCATGTAGAGGAATCCATGAGATTTGTAATTGTAGATAGTAGTGTATATCATGAATGTATCTTGTTTGATACATGTGGTAGAGGTACTTATATTAAATGGATGTGTAGTCACTCTTTTATAATTCCTTTGTCATGTATACTTATGGACTGCCGTACCGACAAGATTGAATTGCAAGTTCCATTGCATGGTGCATCTAAGAGAGGTTTTTATCGTATTAATCTAGGTAGACATAAATTTTATTGGGATGATGATGTCCATATTCTTTATAAGGGAGTATTTACACCTATTAGGATTGATTGGGTTAAATGGACACATTGTCACTATCTTGTTTTATTCTTACTATTTTTTCAGATTAGTGGATACCATTTACTAGTGCGTGTTTTCTTTTTATTGTAAGGTAGAAATTCGAGGATGAATTTTCTTCAAGAATAGGGGAATGATAGCATCCTAGGAAGATCAACTCTATTCAAGGACAATGATGAAGCTTTCGAATATCAAAGATGACCTTTAACAAGATGTCAAGCTAAAGAATTACAAAACAAGGTCATTAGACTTCAAGTGCAAATAAAGAAGTTATTAATTGGGAGGAAGAGCTCAAGGATAAAGGATGTGAATAGGCTAGGTGATAGCATCAAGGACAAGGATAGAGTTTTGTAAGCTCCAAGGCCATATACAAGATCTCAAGCTAAAGAGTTGCAAACTAAGGTTGCTAGACTTCAATGGCAAATAAAGATGCTTTTAATTGTAGAGGAAGAGCTCAAGACTAAATGAGATGAATTGTCCAAGTTTTATAATTATATGGTGGTCCAAATTGAAGTCCAAGAGGAGGAAGATTGGGTCACCAAATCAGCCCTTGAAGTCCATCAAAAAGGGCTCAAAATAAGTTTAAAAGAGGTCCAAAAGGGGGTGTTTCAAAAGGAGCCCAATTGGAGTCCAAACCAATGGCCCAAACTAGTTGTTTTAAGGACCAAATCTGCCCCAAAGGGCCTTGACCACCCCTCACCTAATTTTGATGGCTTTTGTTACCCCTTAGGAGCCCCCTACCTAAATTTGATGGCTATTGTGACCCCTTTGCAGCCCCTACCTAATTTAGATGACTTTTTAGCAACCCCTTACGTTATTTTAAGGGTATTTACTCCTATAAATAAGGAGTTCTTCTCATTCATAAGAAACTACATTATTGATTAAGTATATCATACTTTGAGAGTTCTTTTGAACCTTTGTTACTTGTGCTTTGAGATTTATCTTTCAACCTTTACTAGTTCATAGTTCAAGGTAGTAAAATTACTTATCTTTTTTGATATCTTTGATTTTTTTGTGGTATTTTTAGAAGGCGATTAATACTAGTTATTAATTGTTGTCTCAAGTTGTAAAGCGATCAAGATCCGAATCTATTGTTTTGATTTACTTTTAAGTAAAGACATTTAATTTCTTCCATAAATCAAGACGTTGTTACTTTGATCTTGTCAAGGCTATAGAACTTGCGTTCTTGGAAGTTCTTGGAAATTCTTTCCTTGAATTTTCCCATATCCTTTATTTTCATCTCTTTAATTCTAGTTGTTCAATTCCTTGTTGTTATTGCTTCTGCATTTACTTCTCAAATCCTTACTCTAGTTTAGATTCCCAACCTAGTTGCTATCAGTGAAGTTGAAAGCCTATAGGTGTAGGTCGTGGTTTTTGTCCCCTTTGAGTTGGGATTTTTCCACGTAAAAATCCTGTGTCTCATTTACTTGCTATTTTCTTATTAGAATTCTCAGAATAACCTCATAGAGGACCAGATACTCTACTATTTAGTGGACTCATACAAACTAACAACTTGGTAGTAGGCCGGATCGGCATGGTAAGAGATATGATTAGTTCTTTGGGTGCTTATGAGATAATGTGTTTCTATAGGTGTTTCGTGGCAATGCTCTTGGTTTTTTTTGGTGGCTTGCGTGGCCTGGTTGAGTTAGAAGGATTCACTTCTGACGGTTTGGTTTTGTGCAAATGGGATTCGGTGAATTCTTGATGGTTTCTACCACGGTTAGAGATGTATAATTTCTACTGGATTAAGGAGCATGTGAGGTATAGCAATTTCCTTCTAGATTGGATCAAATGGAATGTTCTTGGCTAGTGGAGTACGTAGTTGCTTGTGGCTTCGGAATTGATTATGAAGTTCTCATATTTGTCATTGTCACGCCCAACCTCGAGAGGCGCGACCGGCGCTCAATCAAGCAAATCCAACTAAGCAAGCCTTATCAAACACTTCCTACCCAACTCGATATGAATAAGGAAACCATGCTTTCATTCATTTATTTAGACGAGGAAAGATAGTGCATTCTACAATGTTAGTTCATTTTAAATCACAACATTAAACCGTCGATAAGTTCCAAGATTCCATACAAATACACTTTAGAAAAGCGATAATTAGAATTACATCATAGTTCGTAGACCCATCCAACGCCCGTACATAACCCACACATATGTCTATGGAGCCTCTAAGGATGTAAAAGACAAGTATGACAATGCCGGTAACAAGGCCCCGACTATACCTCAAAAGTATAAGTCTACAACAAAAGATGTGCAACATAACCCCTTGAAGGAGAAAGGGGCTCATCAAGACTTCGTGAAGAAGGTACTCCGCTACGTGCGATCGACACTATCCGCAATGGAGCCACCTACATACATTTAAAATGTGTGAGCACGTAATTTTTTCCCTATATGAATTATTCCCATAAATTCAAAACAAAATAATTTTTTTTCATTGTTTGCAATTTTGTGGATTTTCGTGGCATTTTTCTGTTATTTGTTTGCATTCGTGTGCGCATGTTTATTTTGTTTTAAATAATGGAAAATACAAAAATATCATGCATTTCATTTAGGTTTTATTTAATAGTTCTAGGATTAATTAGTTAGTTATTTGTTTTGTCAAAAAATAAAAATCACAAAAATTGGTTCATTTTTACAATTATTGTCTTTAATTCTTAAATTATTAATTTTTCTCTTTTAGTTTGAATTTATAGTTATATAATTAGTATAAATTTACAATTTAGATCATTTAGGAATTTAGTTTGGAATTTTGTTAATTGATTTGAAAAAAAAGAAAAAAGAAGAAAACAATTGGATTTGAAAAGGATAAGAAAGAGAATCAAAAGGGCTGTCGATTTTGGCCCAAAGTGCAAAGCCTAGACCCATTCTTCTCATATACCGGCCCAAACCTTCCCAACCCGGTCCAGCCCCCCCACTCAACTAAAATGACACTATTCCTTGCAACATTGATCTGGACCGTTGATCTCAGATGATCAAACGGTCCGGAACTAACCTATTCTAACTATAAGAGTGTCGGAACTAATCGCCCCCTCAAAACCCCTTTCCCATCGTCTCTCTCAACCCACTATCAGAGACCCAAACCCTAGGCCGCCGCCCTATTTTTCCACCGCCTCAACCGGTAGCGCCACCTCCTACCACTCCCAAATTAACACCCCATGACCACCAAGATCCCCTCATTCCAAACCCCCACTCCATTTGCCTCGAATCAAACCAGAACGATTGGAATCTTTGAATGAAGGTCTGGATAAAAACCCTATCTCTTCTAAAACTACATCATTTTGGCACCCCAAACTTCCCATTCCCTCCTCATACCAGATTCCCAACCGGTTTCCCAATAACTTCCGTTTACTAGTCGAAATTTCAGATCCAAAACTCGGAAGACCTGGTTTTCCCCAATATGGTCACTCAGGTCTCTCCGTTTCAGTTTTTCTTTCAAGGTTGAGGCTCCCAGGAATCCTTTCTCTCACAAAGACTCAGCCGAAGCCATGCAAGGCTGGGTCTAATGGAAGAAATGATTTCTGTTGGTCAAAGCAAAGTTGAAATCTAAGGGGGTTTGATATCCGTTCGTCCTCTTAAGTAGTTTTTCTCAATGGCTTTCCTTGTTCTTCTCTTTCTTTTTGTCCATGCCTTCTTCCTTTTATCCTCTTCGAAAGATTGAGTCCAATTTGATCTCTGCGTTTTGAAAAATTGATTGTTGAAACTCTGTTTTAAGATTAGTTTCTTAAGTGCCTCTAAAATTGAGTTGTTTTCAGAGTCTTTTTATTTGTTTTTCTGAAATTGCTTAGTTTGTTAATTAGTTTTAATAGCTTAATTAGCTCCTTGCTTATTTGTGATCGTTAAATTAGTCAATTTGCTGGGTTCCGGTAAGTTTATTTTCTTTTGAATTAGTTTTGGTTTCACTTTGCTATTTGGGCTCTAGGGCAATACTGACCTCGTTCTCAGAGAGTCCTGTTTGGCCTGAATTTGAGGCTGTCTTTTGAGACATTGAGCCCATTTGGGGTCCATAACCCACACCCGTTTGACCCAGGTTGGTCTTCAGGGTAAAAACAGGGTGCTGGGAGGGTAGTCTAGGGAATTGGCATAAGGAATCTTTAGTGTGACTTATTTGGAAGTTTCTAGTGAGGGTTTCTTTGTGAATTTCAGACTTTTAACAATATAACTTGAGTAACAAGCCAATAAGTGAGGGACTTTTAAGCTAAAAGAAGATTTAAAAGGGACTAAAAAGGTAAAACTAAATCTACAAGGCTGCCCTAGTAACTTGCCTATAAAGGCACCATTTCTTGCCTTTCAAGGCAGACCCAAGAGGTAAGAAATCCAAAAAATCTTGAACTCTAAAAATCTAAACAACAAAAATAGGGAAGAAATCCATAAAAGGACTGTGCTATTGAAATCCTTCTTTGATTTTCTTAGTTTTCAATTGTTGAAGGTCGAATGAAACTGATGTCGTTTGCTTGGTTTTAATTCTCTGAGCCATTCTGTTGGTTTTAAATTTCTGGAAAACTTCTGAAATCTAAGAATCTGGTTAAAAGGAATTAATCTTGGGCTTGTAGAGGTTTAGTTTGAAGTTGTCGAGGTCATAGTTCATGTCAAATTAGTTTTCTGGTTTGGATGGTTTCTTCCTAGTTGCTGAGCTCTGCTGCTTTGCTGTTTCATTTCATATTCCAGGTACATATTTCTAGACTCACCTCACATGAGGCCTGATATTAAAGTAAAATGAAATCTGGAGGTCTAAATATGGCTTCTACATGTTCAGATCCTTTAGTTTATATTCAGTTTCTTTGAGTTAATTGATGCATTGTATGTTTGATGTGAGAATCCATAGCCAGTTTGCATATGTTTAAAATTAATAGGGCCTTGTAGTTAAATGTTGTTTGCCTCTGAAATTCCTGCTATTATAGCTGGTCTTGAACTGTTGAGAAACGTGAACCTGATAAAGTATTGATCATTAGTTAAATTTTGTAATTAAGCAGTGTTAGATCCTTTATGCCCTTGCAGCTCATTCGAATGTTGAGGCCTAATGTATACCCAGGATTTCATGTTATTGTTTGATAGGTTGAGCTGTATGATATGAATATTAGTTGGGTGTTTTATGTTGAAAATCAACTGCTAGTTTGGAGTTGTCTTGGAATGATGGTAAGGAAAATAAGATAAAGTGAGAATAGATATTAACATACTAATACTGAGTTTGGAAATCATGTTAGCATGAACTTGAATAATTTGTTTAGGAATCGTAACATCAGCCTAATTTGAACAACCAGGCTCGTTCGTCGTGATTCTGCAATAATCATTTGGAGTTTAACTTCCTTACTCAAATTGGGTGACAAGACTCTATCTAGACTCGATGCCGAGTCGTCCGAAAGAAACTTGGGCTCGCCCAGGCCCAAGTCTAAGGTCCTTTTACGAGCAAGCCTTGTACATGCATGAAGCTCACATTTTTTTATTTTGGTTGTTTTATTCGAATCGGCTCTCAATTAATGGGTGCATTGGCCCAAACCTCCTCATGTAGTCTAGAATAGGTTCAAATCTCTCAAGCTCGTCTAACTAAGTATCGTTTTTTTATAAATCAAGATGCGTCTTGCCAAAAAAATGGCAATTGCATGGCCTTCGTATTAATTAATATATAAAAATTGACAAATGTACGGAGTTTGCTTATGTACGTTTAATATACTATTCTAATTATGGACACGTTCGCGTGACATGATTCTAAAAACGAAAACCGGAGTATGCGTTCGCGCAACTTCGGCCAAACTTTATTAATAATAACAAAAGCGTTATTAATTGTGGACACATACGCGTGACATGATTTTTGACGCACCAAATGAAATGAGTACACGTAGGCGTGACTCGTTTCAAGGTAATTTTTTAAAAAAGAGGTAAGTGCACATAGGCTCTAAAATGAGTAATTAGACAATTTAATAAGCCAAGTATAATCAAAGCGACTGTGCTAGAACCACGGAACTAGGGAGTGCCTAACACCTTCTCCCGGCTTAACATAATTCCTTACCCAGATTTCTGTGTTTGCAGACCGTAGAACAGAGTCAATTTCCTCGATTCAGGATTTTAAACCGGTGACTTGGGACCCCATAAATCTCTCAAGTGGCGACTCTAAATCTTTTTATAATAAATCTCATTTCGATTGTCCTTTAATTGGAAAAACGCCCTTATATTTATACACCCTTCCGGGGGGGGGTGTAGGTAAAAAGAAGGTGTGACAGCTCTGGCGACTCTACTGGGGATCGAACCCAGAATCTCTGGTTCAGAGTTCAAGAATTCGAGCTTGTTAATGATATTTACTTGGCTTCATTTATTGTTAATATTACTGTATTCTGTGAATCATTTGTGCTAAATGTTATTTGTTTACTGCTTTATTATTGTTTGAATTATAAATGTTTTCTTACGCCACCTCTCTGAGTCTTCTGAAAATGGTGCACACGTTTGCATGACCTTCTTTTTCTGTAGAAATTATACCAAATAGAACGAGGCTGGGCAAGCGACAAGGCCGGGTAGACTTCAGTGCTCCCAGTACGGCGCCCCCTCTAGACCAAAACCCCAGGAGTTAAACTTAGAAAAACACAGCTTCATGCTGGATCCCTAATAGGAACATTTGTTTGCATCATGTGCATTTGACTTAGGGGACTCAAGGTTGGGTCCGTCTAGGACAGGTGTGCCCGAAACAACAGACCATCCCGATGCATTCTATGTGCTATGTGTAAATTTATTTGTTTTGGCTTGCATGCTGACCGACTAGGGAAAATAAAGAAAAAAGAAAAACCAAGAGTGATGTAGGGAAGGAAATAAAGCCCGATTCTAAAGAAAACCTCGGTATTTGAAAAACGTCCCAAAGCTCTGCCAAAATTTTTCAGAAAGTTAATTCAAAAGAATCAAACACTGTGTTCTTCCAAATGTGTCAAAACTGACCGAACTACACAGGTCTGATTCTCATCGGATGTGGGATACGTAGGCAACCTACATAAGATTTGGCCTTATTTTTGAAAAAAAATAAAGAAAAACAAGAAAAAGAAAGTCGGTGGTTGAGTGAATGCATTCTGGATTCTTGATCAAAATAAGCCGATCCAGCTTCCGCAATGTCTTAAACCGTTCTTGCCGAGATAGCCTTAGAGTATTTTTCAATTGTCGAAAGGCTATTTTCATAAAAGAACGCACAAGTTTGTGAAAGGGTCATAAAATAATCCTCCCCGGCCTCAAAATTCATGTGAAATTTGGAAGGGGCCGCATTTGCAAAAACAGTCACTTGGCTAAAATTGGCATATAGGGGAAGAAATCATGGTCCTTTGATTTGTTTTTATTCTTTTCTTCTTTTCTTTTCTTCTTCAAAAACCTGTTTACAAAAGGGTCCACTCGAGTCAACCCTAACCTTAACCTTCCGCATGAACAAAATGAATACCATCCAGGATTCGCCAGAAGTGGTCAGGGAACTTGCTCAGTTGCACTTGCGTATGTGGTGGAATGACCTAGATGAAAATGGTCAGAAATGGGTGAAAAAGCAATTGGGTGCTCTTATAAACATTTTTGAGATCAAACCACGGGAAGATCTGATTAAGGCTTTGGTAACTTTCTGGGATCATGTCCACAATGTCTTTCGTTTCTCGGATTTTGAGATCACCCCTACTTTGGAGGAGATAGCCGGGTACATTGAATTCAGACGGGATTTGAGGAAGCAACAACTTATATTTCCAAGGGCTCCATCGGTGCACAAGTTCTTTGACCTCCTGAATATCAGTAAACAGACGAATAAAGAACGTGTGAGCAATGGGTATTGCACTTTCCATTTCTTGTACTTCAGGTTTGGGCACTCTGCTGGTTTTGAAATGCATGAAAAGGGTCTGAGCAACAAACAAGACAAGGGCCTTTGGCAAATTCATTGCCGGTTCGCATTTATTGTGGAATTCTTGGGGATCATGGTTTTTCCAAATGAAAAAGGGACGGTGGATATTCGTATGGCTAGAATTGCACAAATCCTCACTACCAAGGAAGATCATACACTTGCCCCATTGGTGCTGGCGGATATTTATCGAGCATTGAGTTTATGCAAAGCAGGGGCTCAATTTTTTGAAGGTTGCAGCATCCTTCTGCAAATGTGGTTGATCGAGCACCTTCGCCATCATCCCAGATTCATGAGGTATGGTTCGATCCCGAATAGCTTCATCACTAGTTACGAGGAGAGGGTAAAAGATTACAACGCACCAGAAGGGTTTAAAGCATGGGTCTCTCACTTGAAAGTTCTTAATGCAGGTCAGGTCGAGTGGACTATAGGATGGCTCCCGAGGACAGAAGCCATCTATATGACTGCTACCAAAGGCTACCTGAGGTTAATGGGCATAATGAGTATTCAGCCATATGCACCGTAGAGGGTTTTGAGGCAATTGGGAAGGTATCAGATTGTGCCTGAAGATGAAGATCTATGCACCCAAGTCATAGAGTTACATCCAGAAGCTGCATTGCCCAAGGTTGTAGTTCAGCAGGATTGGAATAGCTACCGGTATCTAAAAAATGGTACCCAGGTACCAGACATCGCCAAG